TGAGATCAGAGCCAACATACAGGATGGTTTCTTCCTATTTCCCTGCAACAGATGTGTCTGGCAAACAACAACGCAGCAACTGATCAGATTCTAATAAAAGTAGACTTTTCAGTCCACTTAGAAGCCAGAAGATGTTTACACACACAAACAACTGACATGAAAATAGCAGTGTAAAAACTGCCTTTCATTAAAGAGAATTTTCTCCTTAACAGTGCTGTGTCGCTGCACAGTAAATGGTAATCATGTCATTACAGTAATACAAAATTTTGGGGGTTTTTTTGTTGCTAACTCAAATGCACATGTTTTCTCAAGCTCAACAAGTTCAACTGAGCAAAAAAAAGTAACAAATTTACCCTTCCACAACATAATTTTGCTTTTTCATCCCACTCAAACCAGAAGTCTTTTTAATATATTCCTGAAACAACAAGATATTTTCATAAAAAAAAGAAACATTAGATACATTGGAGTCCTCAAATTAAATGACCAAATCTGATTTTAAAGAAGGAGGGAGAAAGTGTACTGAAATTAATTTTTGTGGTGAAAAACTTCTCAGTGAGTGACTTTTCATAAATCAACCATGTACTTTCTGTAAGGGTTGTTCCCATCATTTGTTTTCCTACCAAGATTTTTTCTGAGGTTAAAGCAGTGCCACTCTTGGGAAGCACAAAGTGCACTTTTGTAAATTACTACTCTTTGTACAAAAGTCACGACAAACTAATTTGGTTGAGTAAAATAACTTTGCTCTACCTAAACAATAAGATTGAATGTCAGAAGTTTAGAGTTAAGGTAACAGGTGTGTAAGAACAACTAAGGCATCAGGTGTTTATATTCTATACAAATACCCAGCAGATAAGGCTGCTCCAGAGGAGAACCTGCTGTTCTTCCTGGCTTTTCCTGTTGCTCTCTCCTCTGTGTGCTTCTTCCATCTTCCCACAGATGTGGTCACCACTGCTTAGCAACCGAGGGGACATGATGACACAGATGAAAATCCTACATCTAGAGCTCGCCCTGCTCCACCTCCACGGCAGCAAATTACCTTCCACAGCCAATTAGGATGATTACGTTTTCTTTGTTACCTCAGAGGTACCAAGTAGAACCTCAGACACAGCTTGATGCGAGATGAATTTTTCTCCTCGGTGGAGAACCTGAGACTTGTTAATAAAGCTGCTCGCCAAAAGATAATGCCAAGTGAAAAAAAAAAAAAAAGGAAAAGGTAACCGAATACCCTACCTACTTTTACTCACTGCTCCAGCCGCCCTCCAGGGAGAGGCGAGGTAGCTTAGACCCAAGCCTGGGCGGAACCCCGCAAACAGTACGGCGGAAAGGCCACACTCACCTCTGCCATGCCACAGGTAGGTGCTGTCTCCGCGCTGCGGGGCTGCCGGCTCCGTGTCCAGCGCTGCCCGCCCTCTCCGCGCCGCAGCCGCCGCCCCGGGGAGCCCCGCCCGGCCCGGCCGCGCCCGCCGCCGCAGCACCGCCCCCGCCCCCGGAACCCCGCGGTGGCAGCGCCCGCAGCAGGTGCCGAGACCCGCGAACGCGCAGGGGGAGGAGGAACTTCCCAGTTGGAGAGCGCGGTCACAGCCGTTCTCTTCTGCTCTTCATCCACGTTCAATGCCAAGTGGGTTCCCGAGAGGAAGTCGCGGTGCCCCTTGGCTGTAATCCACGGTAGTGACATTAAACATTTGTCTTATGAGGTTTTAAAAGCATTTATGTGTGTTTCTTTTCTACTGATCACCAAGTGTAATACCTTGGAAAGCTGGCAATGGAAAATAAGCTCGTCTGCAGCTCGGTGCGAGAAGAGGTGTTTTTTGTGATGTATTACTCAAGGAAGTGCCTCAGAGGCATTGTGTTCTTGGTTAGACATATTTACATATGTCCTCCATGCTTTTGGGTGTGGACAACACACAGTAATTCTGAACAGATTTTAGAGAGAAATTGGCACCTGAAGAGCAGTAAGCATTAGAGCTGTAGAGCATCGTTCTTACAACACATATCTGAAATCATTATGGGTCACCAGTTACAACCAAAGCCACAGCTAAACACAAGTTAAAATGCCAGCCCGCCACTGCTTCCCAGCACTTCCATGATCAGTGCTTACTACTCCTGAAGGCCTCCTGATGTGGCCTTGGCACATTGTCTGCACCGATTACCCTGTTCTAATGTTCATAGAACATTGGTGCATCTTGAAGGCTGCATAAATAGGTCACATCTGTAGTTTTGTCCGTGGTCATAGCATAAGACCATAAAAAATCACTGGAAATGTTTGAATTCCCTTCTGCTTCAGAGCAGGGAGGGGCAGCACAGGAAAGTTTTGATTTCAAAGTATGAAAATTCAGTATATACCTGTGAAATCAGAATAATTCAGTAATAACAATTGTTTTTTTCAATCTTTAGAAATAAATCTTCATCTTCTTCAGAACTATGAAAAATACATTAACAAAATTCATAAGCATATTTGAAAATGTTCTTATGTGATCTGGCTTCTGTATTCACATCTGCTTGCTCAAAATCTCACTTTTCTTGCTGCAGCACTAGCATACCATGGCAGGGAAAAGGAGATGCTAAGAAGGCATTTTCCTCTTCACTTCTATTTTTTAGCACAGGCAGCAGGTCACTAGTTTTTATAGCCCACTTAAGACATTTCCCCAAATTGTGTCAGATTCGGTAGCAGCCCCATAGAACCTCCTTGAAAAAGTATCCGTATTGTCTTGACTGGCTGCCAGAAATCAGCTTCTTGATTGCATACAGTTAAATTAAAAAAAAAAAAAAGGAAAAAAAAAAAAAAAAAAAAAAAAAAGGCACTTATTCCATGCAATGTTGTAATGCTATTTGATAACTTCAGTCTGGCTGCTCTGAACAACATAGATCTAAGATGCTGTAACTTAGCACAGAAGACAGTGTTGCCTGACTGGTGACTACAAATGAAACCCATTAGATTTCTGTATGCATTTAAAAGTCACTGTTAAACTGGAAGAAATTACATGCAGAGGGAAAATTTTCTTTTTTCTTTTTCCTCCCTCTTTCTCAAAACTCAACACAAAGAAAGGGATTGCCTCCCCTTTTTTCAATGTTCTTTTAAATTGTTTCAGTTTTTTTTCTTTTCCTTATCATTTTGATATTTTAGTGCTGATGTACAATTGTTTTCTGCATGCCTTGTCTATGTTGTAATCTGTAATATTTCAGGATCCAATGTTACTGCAATACACCCAAAAGACCTTCTTACAACACAGAATGCTAAATTATATTAAATAAGTAACTTTTATATTGAATTGAAATGGGTCGTTCCAGAGTCTTCCCACACAGCAGTGGTGTTTTTCATCTGTTTATACAATATCTACTGCAATGGTACCTGAATTCATTATTCAGCTACAATTACTTATTGCTAGAGTTGCATTCAGACAATGAATACAAACTACCGCTACTTTACTTATTTGGCCCCTGTTTTCACACAAAGTCTTAGTGATGCCTAATAATAATAACAATAACAACAATAAAAATAATAAAGTCATTATTACTAATTAATACAAGTAATAGCATATAACTGTAATTGCTAATAAGTGAAAAGTGAAGGGGCTTATCAGATGGTACAACCTGTTTCCAATGGAGAAGAGTGAATTGCAAAATTTAATATCATAGCACCACTCAGTGTTCAAAGTGGATATGGCTTCATAACCAACAGCTGCATTGCCACTTGAAGAAATACAGTGTTGGTACTATTTATAATCTCATTAATCCTATATATATGGCAATGTGCAGTTTACTTTAGGTATACCATGAGAGAAGTAACACACGGATACAAATGGGTGCTGAATATAAGAACACTGGAAAAAAAAGTCTAGTACCTATCTTGATACAAATTACCCTAAGTAGAAGTGTTAAAACTCACTACAGGTTGTTACCAGCATCCAAAAGGTAGGAAATTATTTTGACCTGTTTAGTCCTTTTGTTTCTTATCTGCTGATCATCCTGAAGATCAGAACAGATTTATCCTCTGCCCATGCTACTCACCAAAGAACATTATACCATATAATGTGCTAACTTTTTATTCATGAACATGATTAGCAAGGAGACGGTTGATAATTGGCTTCAGAAAGTCTAGATCTTGCACCATATTTCCAGCTTGGCTTTTAGCCATGTTAAAGTCACAGTGCTTGTAGTAATGTCATGGTTTCCTCACAAGGACTGGATATAAGGGAAATTAAAATGATCCTGTTTTCTTCTCCAGCAATCCTTTTTTCTGTCAGCCATGAAATATTGCTGTCTCAGGAGCTGCTTCACTGATGTCTTCACAGAGCACCAGAATCAGCAACTTCCTCAAGAGACATAAAGAAATAAATTTTTGTTGGATTTTTTTTAACATGGATTTAAATTAATCCTCCCTTCCTCTTAGTTAATAGTTGTATTTTTTCTTCAAAAATTGTACTATCAGACTTCACTACTTACATTGTCCAATTAGGTGTTTCTTTCTGGCATTATATTTTCTACCTTCTCCTGGATTTCCTTTACCATAGCTCCTGTATTTTAAGATAAATCATTCAGACAGCACCCTATAGGAGAACTGTGATGGATGAACTCATTCTGCCATGACAGTGATCTAAGAATTAAGCATCAATGCAAGATGTTTATTGATGGCATGAGTCAATATTATCATAAATAATACAAATGACAAAATACGTAGCATGTAAATAATAGTAGTAAACCCAAAAGTACTGTGTATGACATACTGCTGCACATTCCTTTGCCACTTCATTAAAAAAACAAGAAGAGGCAGAGTGGATGGAAAACTGTATTTTGCAGAAGAGTTGTAACTTGGAACAGGTATTTGAAGATGACATCCTATTCTGTCTGTTCAAAGTAGAGACATTATCATCAGTAATCTTAAATAACTGTAGGCCAGCCAGTTCCTTTAGACAAGCTGAGCATCACAAATATTTTCCAGATTTCAAATTGTTTTTTCTATCAATTTCTTATACCCTTCCAGTTTGCTAATTCTTTAAGTGGTGGGGGCAGCAGAACAGTTTTCCACAAATAGCCTCAGTAAAACTGCATTTGTTTGTCAGAGTAACTCCAACTGCAGCTTTCTATTTACCTTCTTATAAAGCAAAAGGTAAAATGTGCTACACAGTAAAAAGCAACAAAAAAATATGTCAATGATTCATAGGGCTCCTCAGGTGACTCCTTTTTCTCTTGGACACAAGCTATTCAGATCTTTAGATACTAAAAAAGACAAGCTTATTTTCAATGTTCAATACTTTCAATGTTACCAGTGAAGAAAATACGTTTAAAGATATTTAACTCTTGCTTAAGCAATTCATTAGCACACTAACATCTAAACCATTCTGCTTAATTTTGAATATTAATAGAAATACTTATACAGTATTTCTGTATCCTAACTCATTATTTTGGCCTGCATCAGATCTTGGATTTTTCACGTATCTTTCCAGTCACATTATATTAATGAATCCAAATGAAAAAACTTCTGCATTGCTGCATATGTCATTATATCTGTGAGGATGGAATATAAAAGACTGAAAAGTTGTGGATAGATGAAAAACATTAATAGCATTTTGATTGCCACTTTAAAAACGCTTTAGAGTAGAAAGAAAAAAAGTTTATTAACAATAAATAAGTTTTTAGTAGGAAATGAAGTAAATATTTCTATTCATAAAGTGGATCCATGGAATTATTTGTCTGATTTTCCAAAATGAAAACACACAGAATAATACAGATGAAGTTGGATCTAGTTTACACATATGAAATACATACCTTTATTCTGACTTAAACCCTAAATATGTGTTAAGAAATTAATACTGAAAATGAATCTGGGTAGAGATTAGGTGCATTTACAAAATTATTAATTTAAATCAAGCCTTACCTCAGCTATTCACATTTCATTTTTCCCCCACGTGTTGAATAATTTTTTCTCCATCAGTGTTAATTGTACTTGTACAATTTCTACCTGTAATCGAAAGAGAAATTCAGTAGTTGTTGGAGTCAAAGGCAAAAGGCAAACCTGCCCTAAAGAGGAACATTTTCATAAGAGGATACAACAATGAAATGAAATGCTTATCTCTGCTTTCTAAATTACACATTTTGTTACTTGTCCACCTGCTGAGTTACTGACCACCCACTGTGTTGATTTGTAAAGTAAACCTATTAAGCCCTTCAAAAAAATCTTGAAATACCCGACGAGACTTTGTGCCCATAGTCTCCATAAGAGGGCACCCTTATCTAACAGTGGAACTTCATTTTTTTTTTAACAAAGGTCTTTCTAAAAGCTTTGGGAGGAAAGAAAGCCCTCTGGAGAGTACAGTGAGAGAAAAAGTTACTAAATCATGTTCGTTGTCATTTTAGTGCTGACAAGGCAAATCTAATTTAAAGCATGCATTAACTCGGTATTGATGGTTTCTTTTGCAACTTTGTTACAGTTTCCTCCTACTATAAAAGTTAAAACAAGGTCATCAGAATTAGCTCTTTTAACGCTACCTAGCAAAATAGGTCATGCATACTATTTCATGCTTATTTCTACAGCTTTTCTGTCAACCTACTGGAACTTAAACACAAATAAATACATGGTCGCTCACCATCTCCATAATATTTTTACTAGCAATAATGGTTAAAAGAAGATTGAGGAACACTGCCATACAGAAATGCATTTTGATTAAAACACAGTGCTGCTGAATTTTTAATAATTATGTTTATTATTTAAATATTAACCCAACATTAAATTGTGCTATATATAAAAACCCAGAAGTTATTATTTAAAGAATTTGTTTCGTAAAACTCCTTTGCTGGATCCACTTCAATTTCTCATTTTACTAGTTCTGAAGAAATCACACATTTTTAAAACACAAAATATGCATGAAATATGGTAATGTGTTGAATGAAGAACTTAATGCAGCAGTAAGATGGTCATATCTAAGACAGGGGTTTAACAAGATGGAGAGGGTTCAAGAGTACATCTTTCACAAGTTACTGACTAGATGTTTATGTGGAGTACTGTAAGAGCATACTGTAAGAGGAATGACACCATAATTCAAAGAGGGGCCACTAAATTTTACCTTGTGCAGCTGTCAGAATAAAATACCAATGACCATCATATTTATGCAGAAGAAAAACAGACCTTCTAAACAGGCATTTCAGACTGTTCCACAACCAAAGTTTCTACATGTGCTTGCAAACTCTGTCTTTTGCATTGTTTGGCTTTCTTTGGTAATTAGCTTTGACTACATGGAACCAGGGACTATTTTTCCCTGTCCCCAAATTATATATATTAAAGATAAGACATCATTTGCTGTTATCATCTCCCAAGTACAGTAACACAAATGGGCTTGTTGTCCACCAGGACCCCCAGGTCCTCCTCTCCAGAGCTGCTTTCCGGCAGGTTGGCCCCCAGCCTGTAGTGGTGCGTGGGGTTATTCCTCCTCAGATTCAGGACCCTGCACTGCCTTTGTTGAACTTTAAAAGGTTCCACTCTTTTTTCTGATTTTGAAAATCTGTACTTACATAGATTTACATAGGTACTGTGTCCAATCCATTTCTGTTTCTTGTCTTAAAAATAAAGTCTGATCTGTAGCCATTGTCTTGTCTGTACACTCAGATTCTGATCTTAGTTACAGATGTAGTTGCACAGAAGAGTACAATATTACTCCTGATTTATGTATTGTAGCTAACTTTTAAGAAGAGACTTCTGCCGTTCCTACAAAATACCAAGGGGAACCCCTCTGAATCACTCCCTGATCCACTTCTTTTGAATAGCAGTAGTTCAAAGAAAAATATCACTGATTTCAGAAGAACAAAATGAAAAAAATTGACAGTCATTTCCATGCTTGAAGTCACAGACATAATCAACAGGAGAGGAAACTTTAAATATGCTATGCGGATAGAATGGAATATGTAATGAAATTTTTTTTCACATGAGAATGAAGTTGGATGACTTGACCATAAATTGTAAATTAATTTTTAATCATAATTTTCAGTGTCACAGATTATTTAATATTGTTTTCAGAAGTTGTAGGTTGTCTCTGCTTAATTTTGGGAATAAAATTACCAATTTCCAATGGAAAATCATTTTTATTCAAGCGAAAACCTTACTTAAGGATTACTAATTCCAAAGCTGTCAAGAAATCTGTCAAATGAAAGGAAATTCATGTCCCTGATGTGTTGAGCTGAGCAACGGTTTCTTTAGATGCACATTTTACTTTTTCTCACTTTCTTTTTTTTTTTCTTTTTTTTTAAACAGAGTACTGTTAACTCCTTTTTTCTGTCTCAATCTTTATTTGGCCTTATTTCTTTTTCACATTCTGCTCTCATTATACCAAGATGCACATCAGTCATTTTAAATGGCCCAAATCTGCTAGAAATGAAAATTAGAACCATTTAACTCACAACTGTATTTGGTAGAGTGCACTATAAATATGAAAAGAAATTATTTTTTACACAGTTTAGGGTTTTTTCACTTTTACTCGAGAACATGCAAAACACTTAAGTCACCCATGATGCCAACAGAGAGCAATTGATAATCTACTTCATTTACTTTTATTTCCACAGAGCTTTTAGTAGTCTTGGAAAGCATTGGACTGATTTTTCTGGAGATGGAAAGCTCCGATTTACGGCAAAGCAAACTTTCTTTATCTCCAGGATAAAGGGGGACCTCGGGGAGGCATATAGTTCAGTCTCAATACTCACTCATTCTAACCAGAGATCAAAGATATAAATGGTGCTGGTACTTTGTGTGCCCTCTGGAAGCTGACCTCCACTGCAGAAGTAGTTACACTACATTTCTCAATGCAGCAGCAAGTTGCAGCGATTATCCCATCTATCTTTAATGTTACCTTGAGTGCTTCCACATGTGCATTACAGCTGACAGGAGTAAAATAGCAGGGCCATAAAAAAAATGTCAATAATCATAAAAAGACAAATTTGACCTACTTACCCAGAGATGAGTATCATCCTATTTTCAAGCAGCAAAAGTGGATTACACAGTTCATCTATATAAGCATGACAGATAAAAATAACAGGAATTTGACAGGTGAGCTGAAAGGACTGCAATAAAATTTGAATTTGGAGGAAGGTGAGAGTATGAAGACAGGAAAGAGATAGCCTCTCTCTTGGCTTATAGCTGTCCTCTCTCCAGCACTGAACATTCAAAATTCTCACTTAGTTCCACTCGATTCAGGCAACAGGACAGGAAGCCATATGGCAGGGGATTGGCTAGATAGCGCCTGTGAGGCTCTCCTAATAGCGTGTACCATATTACATATTGACAAGAGTGATTATTCTTATCACACCACTAGGTAACCCACATTGATGGCACAACCATTCCGGTTCTAAGAAGGTTAAAGTACAACTGAGATATTTTTACTTGTTTGTTGCACTAATTATTCCAGCCCACTCAATATTATCAAGCCAGAGTATTCACTTTCATACAGCAGATCTAAGCTTTCATCTGTACAGCATTCCTCCTTGTTTTTAGAAATTCTCAGCAAGTGGAAATCTTGACAAGTACACCCATTTACTATTAATCTGGTCTCACTTTCAGGGAGAAGCATGCAAGTAGATGGAGAGCAGACTCACAGGCCATGAGACAAAGGGTTCTCACATTAAAGGAAACAGGAGCAACCAAGCCTATTTCATAAATGGATTATGCTTTTAAAGTCTTGAGCTAGGAGAGCTGTGAGCTGTATTGAGTTTTCTGCTAGTAGCTGCAAGATGAAAGTCTTGGGGAAACTTAATGAGACACTGTTTCTTAGCAGTCACTCTCCAGTAAGAATTTTCTTTTCAGCAAGGGCTTTCCAGTCTAGCTTTTGTTTCAGTGGATGAACCCAAATAGAAGAAAATAGAGCATTTGTGCTATAAGGACAGCTAGATCTTCAAAGGGGACTGCTGTGTTGCTGGAAAGCCTACCTTTTACCTGAGCATCCAGATTAATATCAAAGGATTATTATTGTGAAAATACAGTTAACTGAAACCACATCTTTTTTTTTCTATTTTTTTTTTCTTTTCTTGTGCAGAAAGATGCATTCAAGCATTCTGAACAAAAGAGTACTTTGATCTGTTTTGTGGATTTCTGTCACACACAAATCAGAGACTTCCCCTACTGGTACAAGATGATAAATTCCTCTGATCAGTGAAATTGCATTATTTTCACAGAAAGAACTATACACATTCATAAGAACATAAAACTAAACAATATCATTTACTGATCATGCTTTCAATACAGTATGAGTATTTGATTGCATCATGAAAGAAAGAACAAGTTGCAGTACTTTGGCAGAAGGCAAACTCTGTGGAGCAAGTTTGAGAGGACAAACCGGAAGACTGGAAGAAAAATGAAAGAGTAATACACAAAACACTTTTTTATGTAGGAAACAGGAGAGATGAGGGGGAAGAAAGCCATGTAGTTGGGAATCTTTTTGAGAACATACTTGAAGAGGACTTCAAAATAGAACTGATCAGACTTTTCAAATTTCATTTTGGTGGGAAAATTTTCACTCTGAATCAAAGGGAAACCCCAGAAATTGGGAAGTTTCCCATGGGTAGGAACTTCAGTCTGTTTGGTTTCATTTAATTTAATTTCATTTAATTTCATTTCATTTCATCCCATCTTTGGAACTCCTACTGATTTAATTCCTAACACCTATGAAAATCTACTAGCAGTTTCTGATCCTGGGAAAAAACCCAAACCACTATTGAGCTTAGTATGGCTGTGATCCCTTATCTGCAGAACACTGCATCTCCAGCTACAATCACATCTATTGTGAAGAAAGCAGTCTAGAAATGAAGAACAAAAGGCTAAGGATGCAAGAGTCTTCACTTTGAGATCAAGGCAGCAAGAATCCTCCAAGCACTAGAAATTCTGGTTCAGACTTCTATGCTGAAAAAGTTCTTGAGTAACTTTAAGTAGTGGTACATGCAGAATCTACTGAGCAGAAAGAATGCTAATTTACCCTAAGATTTACCAAATTAGACCTGGACAAACAAAAAGCCCCCAATCTCCACAGAAAATAGTACAAAAATTCAATCTCAGTGGCTCTAGTTAATATAATGTAACCATCACTTTTGTTACAATGGCCTCAGAAGATAGGATTAACCAGTTTCTTACAAGCCATATTATTCAGCATCACATTTTGATTATGTGATTTAACCTCCCAGCAGTTCAGACTGCATAACATCCACTGGCTGTTTAACAAAAATGGACTATCTGATGATGGATACTTTTAAACTGAGTTAAATTGACTGTGTGGCTGTTAAAACACTGAAGGCACTCAAGCGATTGCTTAAGCTCTTTCTGCCAGAGATACTGCATTGTGAATCAAACTCTAACTAGGAAAGAAGTATCTTTTACATGATTTTCATGAAACATACACACTGAGATAGAGCTACTGGGTGAGCACTGCTAAAAATATGGTTTGTTAAAAAATTACTTAAAATTTTACAGTTTAAATCTCTTTTAGGTAACATTTTCCCCAGGGTTTACAGGTCTGTGCTGTGAATTTTTCATAATGCTTATATTAGAAACTTAAGGAACATGATCTACTTGGAAAGAAAGAAAAGTAAATTGAACAACAACAACAAACCCATTTATTTTATCGTGCTTATGATATGACCACCTGCTAAAACAGTAGTGGGCAGGGTGCTTTGACAGTTTCATTGTGTTATTTGCAGAAAGCAGAAGTATTTTGAAATAAAACCAGTCTTCACTAAAAAGCATTAATGTTGATTGATAATTCTCATGGGAAAAAAAAATCAAAGTTAAAAACTCTGTTAATTTGCTAATTAAAGGGCATAAAGAACATAATTAAGAAAAGTGTCATAAAAACTCCTCAGCATTTCTAATGCTTTGAACTTCACACTGGAAATTCTAGATGTCATTTCTGATCTTTCCTGATCTGTTCTTTTGAAAACAGTCTGTGTATTAAGTTTAGCAATACTATTTAACAGCACGTATTCTTGAAAAAAAACTCAGAATAAATGTTGGTTTTATTACCTTCATATTCCTCACAAGAACATAAAGGTAAGAATTCATTCCCCTAAGCTTTGATGTAAATGATGACCCTCCATTAATCTCTTAGTTTTACAAGTGTTTTTGCATATGGGTAAAATGCACAATGCTGTTTATCTGGGAAAATTATAGTTTAAATAATAATGAAACAGCATTTTATAAAAATATATTCTCTTGATTTGTTTTACTGTAATGAAATGGCTGACTACATGGAAAATATATGCACAGTTTGCCAAATTGCTTTCCTATTTCAGAAAATGTAACTGTTATTCTTCATGATTATTGCAATAACAAATATCTTTGCTTTTAATCTGAAGGGGTTATCTAGGGTTTAGCTAAAAGAAATCAACTTCTGGAGCAGATTTGTAAATGTTCAGTATTTGAATAACATCTTTTTTTTGGATTAAATAGTTTGGAGTATAAATACAAATCTCAAACATAGCACCTACATAAAAACTAGTCTTCTTGCCTGTGAAGTTGTGGTAGTTTGAAAAAGGTTTTCCCTCTGGAGTTGGAAAGTAGTATCATGTCATATACTCATTTCTTAGTTTTTGAAGACATGAATTCACTAAAACACGGTACAATAAGTATTATAGATAATATTGACAATTTCAAGTTGGAAATTGATAAAGTTAAAAATTTGTCAAATTATCAATTTGTCTAATTTGAAATTATCAAATAGTTTCTTAATGTTGGCATGGTCAAATGGATATGATGTGAGCTATACAAATTATTTTGTGTTCACCGTCTACTTGGTCATGCATCATAACTTAAAATGGACAAAATGGCACTGGGGAAGAATGAAATGTTAAGATCTGAAAAAAAATGGAATAAATTAATAAAACTTACAGTATCAGTCTCATCATATTACAAGAAGAGAATAAATGAATATTGTGCCATGTCCTGGTTTTGCATGGGATAGAGTAATAGCTGATTCACTGCTGTGTTTTGGGTTTACTATGGGAATCATGTTGACAACACACTGATGTTTTGGATGTTGCTAAGTGGTTCTTACCCTAAGTCAAGTGAGTAGCTGCAGAAGGAACTGCAGGGAACATGGCCAGGAGAGCTGACCTGAAGTGGCAAAGGGATATTCCATAGCATAGGATGTCACACTCAGTACACAAACTGGGGGGAGTTGGCTGGGAGGGGCCGATCACTGCTTGGGGGTGGGCTGGGCACTGGTCAGTGGGTGGTGAGCAGCTGTTTCTTGTTTCTCTCGGGTTTTATTCCTCTCCCTCTCTCATTTTCATGACAATTATTATAAGTAGTAGTATTGTTATTATTATCATTAATGTTATTATAATACTTTTACTCTATTAAACTGTTCTTATCCTAACCTATGAGTTTTGCTTCTTTTCTCAATTCTCTTCCCCACTGTGAGGGCAGGCAGGGTGGGAAGTGAGCGAGTGTCTGCAAGGTGCTTAGTTTCCAGATGGGTTTAAGCCACAACATGCCATTTCTTTCTCCCCTTATATTTTTTATCACAATAATGATGTTTAATAGTCTTAAACATACAGAATTTGTAGGATGCTAGTCAGTCCGAATTCTGTCTCAAGGCTTTTATAAAAAATGAATTAAGAAAAAGTCCATCATAGGCTTTGGCTTGAATTAACATTTTGAGTTCTCATACAGTATTTTGGAATATGGTGGTACATAGTCACAGTAATAGTTGCAAAAATGGCAGATATCACAAACAACACCAATTTGGTTCTTCTTTCATTCTCTAAAGATGATAAGAATGGTACTGTCTTGGGGAGTAGAGAAAAAATAACCTGTTTATATATGTCAAACCTTTCAGCCTTGCAGTCTGCTTTCCCATGAAAAGCCAAAGCAGACCAAGAAACTGCTTTGAAATGAGCTAAAATAGTACATCAGAAGCCTTTAAAGCTTTTCAGAAACATAGAAAATAGCTGCAATTTGATACATAAAACTAATGGTGCACTTGACTCCCAGCTGCAGAGCAGACAGATGGCAGCATACGGCCATACATTTGTGTAATGAAGTAGAATTTCAACACTGACCTTCTGAACCAGGATCCCAGGGACCCACAGAAATTCTACACAAGTTTGACAGGGTGTCTCACCATGGCTTCATGGCCTATTTACAAGTTAAAAAAATTTAAAAAGAAACAAAAAAAGCGCTGTTCACTGTCTTTATTGGTACTTTTGAATAACAAAAATATAGGTAAAGGGTTTGCAAGAATGAATGCTAAACCAATATAAACCAAAAATGTTGTTTATAATACCCCAGATAAGTAAGTACAAAGATACGTTTGTTGTTACTTTTTTTTAAAGTAGAATATCTCTCTGCATATGGTCTTACAAAAACAGTTGCAAACATAGACTAGCATATGGTTTTAGTTTGAATGCATACATTTGAAGAGTTATTTTAAAGAGCTACATTAAAGGCTTATTTTAAAACTTTTGAGTGTTAATACTTATACACCTGCACTTTTCCAGTCACTTCAGCATATCACACATCTAAAACAGAAATTATATTCATGATGTGGACTTTCCAAACAAGAAGGACTTCTTAAGCTCGTCTAGGAACATCACACAAGACTGTAAATGTCTAGTAGAATTTTGGCAAGAACTTGGCACAGAAACCATTGATAACTGCTATATGATCAGAAACAATACTTAACGAACAAGAGACCTACCTTTCATTCTGACAGCAGAACCCACATGGTTTAAAAATTACTTGAAATACACATGAGCTTCACAGGGTAAAACAGATGAATAGTAAAAAATTAAAATACCAGAATTTATGTCACTGTTCCCATCTACCAAAGAAACATATCAGTTGAAGAGGTAGATCACCACTGAACTGGAAGATGACAAAGAAGTTCATGCTGGTATAACTAAACAGGAAGGATCTCTGCAGCAAGGATTTCTCAGCAGAAACTATAATGTAAAGAAAGGGTAAGGAAGGAACTATACTTCTAAACAATTACAATATGAAGTGGAAATAGCTATCCTGTGTTGTCAAAAGACTATCATCTGACTGGAGAAGTATGGAGAGCGTTGGTGGGTTCTCTTCTCTCTGTTATTGCCTAAGTCCAGTCACAAAAAATCCATGCAGGAGGCGAGAAGAGATAAAATTCAGTTGTTTGTGCAAGTGTTGGTTTTTTTGCACAAAAGGTTTCCTTCATGTGCCCAGATTACTTTGGTTCAAAATGAATGAGTTTCACAGACCCAATAATGTACTTTCTATCTATAGGAAAGCATCCTGTAAACTGCAGACCAGCATAATGTTTGCTTCAGTGAACATATAAGCAGAAGTTGGTCTTCTAAGAACATTACTTACTTAATTAATTAATTATCAAGGAGTTTTCATATTGTAGTCCCCTATTTTGTCACCATCTAACCCAACGCTGTCTCTTCTCTGATTTAGTGTGGGAATAGCTGGAAAAACGAATTCCATCTCCAAGAGAGTCCTTGTCTTCAGTAAGAGGCGTAGGATGGGGAATCTGCTCAACTTTGCACGCCTTGAAAGACCAGAAAGTAGATCAGATACTTTCTCTTCATAATAGTCAACAACAAACATTTAAAAGCATCACTTCCATTCTTCTGCAGCTGTTAGCAAGATTAGTGGGGCCTCCAGGAACATAATGCAGGGTATTAAGCTCCATGTTTGAGTGTATTGATGCAAGAACATTGTATTGCTTAAAGACCGTGTCACCCAGAGGACACAAGGGAAGAAAATGTAGACACATATTATTTTAAATGCACAGCATTATTTTAAAATAATACTAATATTTAAAAAGACTTAAAAAATAAACCTTCAACCTTTAAAACTATTTTGAAAAAAAGACACAGGCTCCCTCAAAGAGTAATCCTTGCCCTACTGGGGAAGAGATGGGGTAGAAGCAAAAGAAGTTCTTAAACCTGCATTTCCCAAGAGTTGGATACACAGCTTCATGCCAGCAAAAAGAAAAGATCCCTGGTGTCACCATTATATGAAAATGTGAAAAGTTTTAAAAGACACCAAGAACAAAGTTTCCAAAAGGAAGGGAGTCCATGAGTCATATGTAAAGGATAGGCTATGGAAATATGTTGTTAGCACCATTTTTTTTCAGGCTTATTTCTTAAGGATATCAAGAAATATTGATCACTATAGTTTTTGCTTCCCTGCCCTCCTCACAGTGATTTTTTTTAATGCAATGACTAATCTTGGCCAGATTTGGTAAAAGTAAACCCGTCAGCTACTAATAGTCTAAAAGTTTCAGGCAACTAACAGGTATGCAGAGGGTCTAGATGTTATTAGTGTGCTCAGTGAGAGAAATACTGGAGACTGGCTACAGAAGTCATTAGTCATTAAAGCATCCAGATGGGACAGAACTGTTACAAATATTTAATTAAAGTTCATATCTCATTCAAAGGCAAAAAAAATATAGAAAGCCTTACTAAGCTAAATTCCATTATTCCCAATATTCAATAAACCCCACTGGAAATGTCCTTGTGGCATTATACAGCTTTTTAGATATTAAGCATGGTTTACATGACAGAAACATATGATAATTTTTTAGATAATTCAGATTTTCACATATGGTGTGCGAGATGAAACATCCTGAGATTCCTCTTCTGAGAAGAATCTTTACAAAAAGAAAGACAACTAGAAATATTATTTTCAGTTACATCTTCTATCAGTTCTGGTTTCAGCCCAGGAAACTGGATGTCTCTTTAGGCACTTAAGTCATCTCTGTAAATATATTCTGGTTTACTGAAGAAGAGAAGAGAAGAGAAGAGAAGAGAAGAGAAGAGAAGAGAAGAG